GGATGACATATCACTTGCTGAAAGGGAGCTCTCAGCAAGCACTTACTGATAAAGATCAGGGATTGCAACCTTTCGTGTAGATTACAGCTCATTGTACAGAAGACCCAAAGCCTCACAACTGTACCAATGGATGACATGATAAATGGAAAAAAGGTTGAAAGTTGTTAAGGATTTTGTCTTGCTTGGATTCCATAATCAATGCTCACGGAAACAGCAGTCAAGTCAAATGACTGGTTGTATTTGGTAAATGTGCACAAGATCTCTTTAGAGTATTGAAAATCAAGGATGTTACTTTGAGGGCTACGGTGTACCTGACCTAAATCAAGGTGTTCTCAGGTGCCTCATGCATGTGGAAGTTGGACATTGAGTGAAGAAGACCGAAGAAGAATCAATGCATTTGAATAATGGTGCTGGAGAAGAGTACTAAAAGTACCATGATCACTGAAAGGACAAACGGATCTCCCCTGGAAGAAGTCAAGTCAGAGTGTTCCTTAGAGGCAAGGATGGTGAAACTTTGTCTTACATACTTTGGACATGTTGTCAGGAAAGACCAGTCCCTAGAAAATGACATCATATTTGATAAAGTAGAGGGGCAGCGAAAAAAGAATCTGCTCCAGGAGATGGTTTGATAACTTGGCTACAACAATGGGATCAAGCATGACAACATTTGTGAGGATCGTGCAGGAAGGAGCAGTGTTCTCTTCTGTTGTGTGTGAGGTTGCTGTGGGTCCATGGCACTTAACAGCGTTCCAAATATCTCTGTAATTGCATATCCTTTGAAGTCTTGGCTTCATTCTTCTCAGTCCTTTCATTTCTTCACTTGGGCTGGAGGGAGCAAGGAAGAAAACTAGTTCAGCAAACAATTGGAAATAAGGTTTTCCCGGAGGTTAGCAAAGAAGAACATAAGGGGATGAGAGACTAGTTAGGAGCGTGCATACAATCCTGGAGAAACAGAAAGGGACCCAATTTGTGGTGACAGGCCTAGAATCTTTATGGGACCTCTACCTAATTCACAATAGCAAATTCATTTAAAAAACAAAACCCCAAAACTTAATGGGAGCAGAGAACCTCATTATTTCTCCAGGAGTGGCTGATGGTTTTGAACTGTTGAGCTTGGGGTTAGCAGCCCAAGACTTAATCCACTATGGCACCAGGACTCCTAGTAGAAATAGCAGAAGGAAGGGCATATGGCCATATTGAAAAATTGTGTGGTTCTTATGAGATTACACATTGGCAAAATGTTAATAGGCAATCCCAAGCCAGGCACATCACAGAGTTGATTTTGATTCATAATTGACCCTGTAGGACAGCACAATTGCTCCATAGGGTTTCTGAGGCTGTAACTATGGAAGCAGTCTTATCTTTCTCCCACGGAATGACTGATGAACTTAAACTTTTGGTTAGAAACAAAATGCTGAAAGCACTGTGCCCCCAAATCCCCTTTTATAGGGAAATAATGTCTTTGTAAATCAGTCTTGAGTTACTGTTACAGAATACTCCCCCCCCCCCCAGGCCTATTCCCTTAATTCTTGAACTCAAATCAAATAAAATTTGTAAAGCTAATATAGTCACGGTGCCTTAACACTGAATATGCTTGATATTGAATGTACTTCTGGCCATCCATTTGGGTACTTAACCATCCTAAATCTCAGCATTTTTGCCACGTTTTGCCATGTGGAATTACCTTCTTGGCTCCTATAGTAATCAGGTAGAATTGACATGGGGGCAATGAGTTTTTATTCCTTTTTTGTTTGTTTGTTTTTGTTCTTGGAAGGAGTAAACACAATTGTTGAAATTTCCCCAATTTAAAATTTTCACTCCCTTACTACTTGGAAGTTAACTTCCTTGTTGTCTGGTGTGTAGAGGTTGCTCTATGGCTATAGGGAATAGTTCTAGGACTTTAATGCCATTTATTCTATTGACTTTTCTAAGCCGCATGTTAATTTTGTTTTTGTTGGCGACCTTTCTACTTCTCCTTTAGTTTGCTTTGTGTTATTTGTAATTCGAGAGGATACTTTAAGTTCTTGTTCTTGGAAAGCCCTACAAGTTATTTTGGGGGTAGAGGTGTTAGTAAGGCAACAAAAATGTGTTTGTTTAAGGTCAAACTATCACTTCAGTAAAGCTATTACATTTTGAGTTTCAGAACTATCGATGCCCCTTTTAGAAGCAATTGTCACAAAACATACGTGGGACCAAGATGCTGGCTGAGCAAGGCAGCTAGAGTTCTGTGCTTCGGGAGACCACACACTGATGACCATTATGTGGGAAATGTAGGTACTCTTGGTGTATGAGGAGTGACTGCCCTAGTCTTAGATGATCGGAGAGTGCTTTCTGTATGAATAATGTCTGATGAGTTACAGGGAGGGAAGCTATGCTTACTCTGGGCGCTCTGAAGAGCAGGGAGGAGGTTATCTAGTAAGTACTCCAAAACTCACTGCCATTGAGTCAGTTCCGACTCATAATGATCCTATAGGACAGATAGAACTGCTCCTGTGGGTTTCTAAGATGAAGTCTTTTAGAGAGCAGGAAGCCTGACCTTTCCCATGGAACAGCTGGTGGTTTGAAATTGCAGCCCAACACATAAGCCACTACTCTCACTGCCATTGAGGGAATTCTGATTCACAGCAACCCTGTAGGGCAAACTAGAGCTCTGTCCCCTTGGGTTTCCAGGGCTATAACTCTTTGCAGGAAAAGAAAGCCTCCTTCTGCTGGGGAGCAGCTGGTAGTTTCAAACCATAGGCCTTGCAATTAGCTGCCCAGTGAATAGCCCACTATGCCACCTGGACTCTTACCTGCTAAGTAGGATTTGAGTAGTCACACCCATACAGACCTTGAGAACCCCTCAACCCCATTCCCCAAGCAGGGCTAGAAGACCCAAAGTACCTACTTTCCTCCCCTGGTTTTATTATGATGCTTACCCCCCAGCAATACCCCCAGGACTACTATCTTCCTAAACTAAAAGAAAAAGATCAAGTTCATGGAAAAGTTCTGGTATCGTTTAATTCTGTTTCCCCATGAACTTTCAGCCCCCTCAAAATGAGTCTTTTCTGTTTTGTTGGAAGTTTTCCTTTTGCAGTAGCACTAGATAGCTGAGACAAGGGAAAAATGGCAAAGTGAGAGGCACTGTTGTCAATGCAGTCCAATCTTCGCTTCCCAGGACTGGGGTGGGCTACAGAGTGGGTGGTTTAAAACCACAGAAATGGATTTTTTTCACTGCAGTGCCTGGATGCTCTGTTTCAATCCCAGGTGTTGGCAGGGCCATGCTCTCTCAGAAGAGTCCAGAGGCAGATCTTCCGTTTCTAGCTTGTCCCTGGGAATTTCGTAGTGGTGGTCTTCACTATCTATCTGCCCCCAGTTTGACTGTCTCTGTTCTCTTTGTAAGATACCACCCCTTACTTTATGCCAGTGTAACTTCCTCAGCGGAGCTGATAACTTCCAGACACACCTTTTTCCCAGCAAGGCCGCATTCACAAAGGAGTTAGGACTTTACAATACCTCTGGGTGGGGGAGTGGGGTGCCCAGTGTCAGTGTCAGTCCATAACAGCTGCTGCAGGATTACATTCATGAGTATTTTTATTATAATGCATTTTAATTATTGTTTGGACAGTGTTCAGATGTTTTCCAGACAAATGGAGCTTAAACCTTTTAAGTATGCACAGTTTCATGTACCTATTTCAGACGGACTTTTTCTTAAAAAGTGTGTTGTCTAATTTCCTGGTCTCTAACTAGAGCAGTGGTCTCAAAAATCACACTCACTTGAGAGGGAGGGTGAGGGTTTATAAGTCGCTTACTCAAAGAATTTGTCTCTAAAACTTTAAGGCGTTTCTCCAGTGATTGAAGTCTCTTTGTTATCTAAGAAGACTCCAGACCTGACATTTTGTGTTTATGAGGTGACTCTTGGGTTAGGGACTTGGTCTGGCAATGAAGACTTACCGCTTGGGACTGAGACAAGAGAAGGTAAAAGGCTTAGGACAAGAAAACATCCCGAGCTTCCTCGTTGGTGGTAGACCTTGATGTACATCGCAGTGTGGTGGTTAGTTGTATGTGAGTCAATTGCAAATCATGTCTACAGCAGAACTCCATGTTGTGTTCAAAGACTGACCCTTCGGAAGCAAATCTCCACATCTGTCTACTGAGGTCCTTCTGGGGGACTCAGACTGCCAACCTAGTCTAGCCAAGTGTTTGCATCACACAGGGGCTTCTGTGGGTGAACAGTGCATCCCTTTGTGTGACTCTTTGGGAGTGCTCCCAGATCTGGCCTTACACATCTCTTCATTTTGTTTTCTTTTTACTATAATAAAACTGTAATCACAAGTACAGAGCATTCCTGCACTTGGTGAGTACTGGCAAATTCTCAAACAGTAGTGGGTTGTAGGAAACCCCTATATGTGCAGATACGAAGTGAGGATGTCAGGGTTACCCCTCTACCTGTGACTGGAATCTGGGCTGTTGGCAGACATAATCCTTTTAAGTCTAAAAGGTACATTGGAGAACTGTGCCCTGGTGGATAGGGTTAGAGAAGGAAATACTAGTAATGAACAGGTGTCAAAAAATTAGGACAGAAGTGAATTGGATTGATTTGATGGGTCTGATTCAAAGGGCTTGTTGAAACAGATGTTGCCTGGACTTTCTGAGTTTCTTGTTTCACAGCGCTGGGATAGGGCCTGAGGAGATATGGCTGTTAGTGGTTACAGATAATGCGCTGGTACGGGAAGCTGCCAGAACTAGAATGTCCAAACCCCAAAACAGTTCATTGCTGTTAAGTCAGTTCTGATTAAATGCCCCTGTCCTATGGTTTTCACGACTGTAAATCTGAGGTAGTTAGTTTATTGTGCTGACCTGGCCAATAAACACATGTGGAGTTGGTTAATTGAAGGGCAGAGAGATAAATGGCTCCGTGAGCCTCACCTTTCTAGTTCTCAGGTCTCTTGCTCTCTGATGGTCGGACCAGGGTGCAGCTGCTTTAGCCAGTTCCCTGCTTTAGCTGGCAATGCTCATTTCCTGCAAGACCTCCCCAAGGAGAAGCTGCCTGAACCCACCCCGATGCAGCCCCGGGTGCTAGAGCAGCTGTGTGGAGACCCCTGCCAGTGCTGAGATGCTTACACATCCACTGCCTCCGCTTTCCTCTGCAGTAGGCGTCATAGTGTGTGTTTTGTGAGATGGAGGAGGACTTTGTGGATTGGTGTCAGACATATGGGTGAATGTTGGACTTGGGCTTAGGGCAGCCCTGGGTTGGGATGTTTTCTTGATGTGCACTTACCCTTTATATAAAACTCTCTCTTAGACATGAGTTTCTGTGGATCTGTTTCTCTAAAGTACCCAGACTGACACAGACTCCCTGTAGAAGCAGACTGTAACATCATTCTCCCAAGGAGTGGCTGCTGGGTTTAAACCCTTTACCCTTTGGTTTAGCAGCCTAGCACTTAAACATTTGCACTCCCAGAGCTTCCGAACTAAAGATACGTGAGAACCTCAAACCAAATGAAACTCACTGCCATTGAGTTGCTTCTGACTCATGACCACCTTACAGGACAGGGTGTAACTGCCCCTGTAAGTTTCCAAGACTTAAGTCTCCCCTCCCCGAACATGTTTATTGGCATATAATGCACATTTCTTACAATTTAATAGTTCAGTCACATCAAGAGGAGTTGTATAATCACTACAATCAGCTTTAGAACATTTTCTTCATTGTTGTACATCTTACCATTAATTCCCCATTTCCTCCCCAACCTTCCCACAAAGAACCATTAATCCAGTTATTGTGTATAGATTTACCTAACCTGGATTTTATGTAGAGAAAAACATTTAAAAGAAAGAAAAACTAAGAAGAACAGCAAAGTAAAACATAAAAAACCTCAATTGAAAATAAATCAGAAAATATTGAAAACTAGAACAAAGTTAAATAGATCATGAAAGATCAACTGAGAAGTGTGGTACGTTTTAACCTAACTGTATCTGCAACAATCCACTTTTCAATGCAGCCTTCATTGTTCACATCCCTGTTTCATGGCCAGAGGGGAATTCACCAAGGGCTTAAATCCATATGTATTTCCCCTTCAGGTTTTTTTTCTTGAACTTTATGTGTCTTTTTTTTGCTCATTTAGTATCTTTTTTTTTTTTTAAACATTTTATTAGGGGCTCATACAACTGTTATCGCAATCCATACACACATCAATTGTGTAAAGCGCATTT